AAAAAGGGTTTAGCGATTTATAATTATTGGGGGGACTAGCCCCCTCAATGTCTATTAGGGCTGTGTATCACCAGCAAAGTCACGATACGATACGTATCACGATACAGAGGCCACGATACGATACGTATCACGGTACATGACTGCACTGAATTTCACCTCAGCAGAATTTAGAAAAACAGCTGTTTATTAAACACTGCTTACTATAGTGCCATTTTTAACTATAGGCAGAGCAGGCAGCTGACCTCTGCATTATGAAGGGCCTCCATAACTGTACCACAGTACAATATAGGTAATGGCATATGTTTCATGTTTACATTGAGCACTCCCCACCAGGTACAATATTCTGATTGTTTGCATCTTGTTTTTAAGCCCATAAATAATAATGTACTCGTTCTAATAAATGTATATTGTAATGTACTAATAATAATATATTTAAAAAATCATTTACATTGCTGGTAGGTTATCATTGCACAAATTAACACACTCTCTACGATTAAAAAAATAAAATAATAGAAGAGTTCTAAACTAACGCGCTGTCTTCACTGTATCTAACGAGATCCTCAGTCTATCAGGATTGGAAACAGGACCTCAGCCAACACCATAATGAACATTGGCACTCCACAGGGATGTGTTCTCAGCTCTATACTGTACACACTCTTCACACACGACTGTGTCACCTCCAGCAAGAACAATACCATCCTGAAGTTCGCAGACGACACTGCAGTGATAGGACGCATCACTAATAGGGACGGAACGGCCTACAGGAGGGAGCTAGCCAGTCTGGTGACATGGTGCGAAAACAACAACCTCACACTCAACACGGACAAGATGAAGGAGATGATAGTGGACATGAGGAAGGAGAGGGGAACTCATCGGCCACTGTTTATCCGGGACCTTGAAGTGGAGAGGGTGAGCAGCTTTAAATATCTGGGCATCCACATCAGCGAGGACCTCACCTGGACACTTAACATCACCCAGCTGATCAAGAAGGCCCAACAGAGTTACAGGTGTTTTTCAGCTGCAGCGCCCCCTATAGCTGAATCTGAGCACCTCAGAGCGTCCCATCATCCGTGTGAATCAGGATTCATTAGGTTTGGTTCAACAGATACAGATCAACACATCCCTTACCGTTCAATATCTCCTAAACTCTTGTCAGTCAAAACTCAGGACAAAAAGTTGCTAAGGTTATTTTTATTTCCAAGCTTGAGATCTCTATGATGCTCAGACATAGAAAAAGAATAAGGCAGAAAAATAATAATATACAAAACTGCACAAATACATTACAGTAGCAGCTCTAAAATACACTTGGATATAAATGATTTACGTAACACTACACTAAATATAAATCAATGGGATCGCCATCAACACAAACAGAGCTTGAGAAAAGCACAGATACACACCGTCACACGCTCTGATCTAACTGTACATGTGAGGATTCATTACACACATTTATTCTGATATTTCAGTGACAGAAGTTCAGCTGCAGTATTAATGTCATGAAGAGAAGAGAAGAGAGATACTCTATAACATCTCACTGTTACTGATTTATCATGCTGCTCAAAACGTTACAGGGAGAATCTCTCGTCAGTCTCTTCTGATTCATCAACACATTTTCATTGATGATTTATAACCATAAACAGCGAACCCAGGATAGAGCGTCTGAGTGAATGTGGTCTGGACTGTGTGGATGAGGCTCATTGTGTCAGAGACGCTGTAGAAGGACAGAGTTCCTGCACTGTGATCCACAAACACTCCTATTCTACGACAGCTGATGGACTTTACAGGGAGATCCGTCTCTGTGTTATTGTGTGTGAATGAGTAACTGTCAGGACAGCAGGACAAACTCCAGGACTGATCATTATATCCAAACAAACACTCAAAATAAATCACTGTACTTAACAGTTCTTCATTTTCCTTGAGGCTGCAAACAAGCTGAGCTGGTCAGAACGGGAGGAGTAATGAGGTTTGACTTAGAGTTTGAGGAGCCAGTGGAGCTACGAGGAGAAGTGCTGGTAGCGTCACTTACAGATCCAGGATCAGAGATACTTATATTTCCAATCTGAGCTAGAGCTTCAGAAATGCTTCGGAAAATGTAGCTTTTCTTGATGCTATGGCACTAATTGATCAGCAATTCTGTATCTGAACAGCTATTTGATACAGAAAACAGCAATGCTACTGAGAAATGTAGTTAAACTAGTAGCGCTACTGCCCATCACTGGCTGCTTGCCCTGAAATCCCTTTTGCACAGTATCTCATGTACAGTGTTTGTGTAAAGTATTTCTATAGTTTTTCTTAGATTATGTGTATATATCATCAGATTGCCTCTCTCAGTAGGTTAGCTATGTATAGGTTTATATTTGTTTTCACTTCTGCAGTATGTTTAAATAAGTAGCACCATGGTCCTGCGAGGCACCACATTTCACATATAGAGGAATGAGGGTTTGACTTGAATATTTACCCTCAGTTGGTTTTGATTCGGCTATAACAGGAGCAGGATCCTCACTTCTTTCCTCAGCCTGACCTGTGTGAGAGAAAGAGATCAGAATGAAAATACAGAACCACAAATGATTTATTCTGTAAACCATCACACTGTAAACATGTCTCTGCTTTAGAAAAATAGTCCAACTGGGCCTTTGTCATGTTTCTATTTCTAAAAATCCGTTTTTTAGTTTCACTGTTATTTTATTTTAACAGCACGTTTACTAACTTCTTGTTAATTTTCACCTGTTACCTTGTTTGTGTTTGTTCTCCAGCTCAACAGCCAGATTGTTCTGGTTTATCTTCTTCAGGATCTTCACTGTGATCCTCAAAGCTTCTTCTGGCCCAAAACACTCCACCATCTTATCCACAGTTTTTAATCGATCTGCTTTTTCCATTTCAGACTCTGATATAGATTCATGATCATTCTTTAAGTGCCACTGAAACTCCTTCAGTTCATTTTCTCTCAGGTCCTTCAGTGAATTCAGAAGCAGCACTTTATCAGACGCCATCGTTCTTCACCGATTCACAGCTGCAGGACAAGAAGAAACACATCTGAGGTAGTTTCACTCGTAACATGTTTGGGTGTGTGTGTGTGTACAGAGCAGGCAAGGAGTCACTGAGCAGGTTTGAGCAGATCGCAGGTTCACTGATGAGTGCTCAGGGAACGACGAGGCGTCTAATCGCCGTGAATTCATCGGATACCGTCGTATCAGCTGTGCCAACACGCTTAGACTGGAGTAGGCTTGTGTGTAACTGGTACAAAACATCATTTCTCCTCTCCCAAACTCACTGGAGCACATCCAAAAAGCAGCAGGCTACGTATGGCATACGTCATACGTCACTCGTCATCTCGCATGTCATCACGTTCGCTGCTCACCTTTCCTGCCAGAGATCTGCCTCAGGAAGGTTGTGGCTAGAAGGGATACAGCAGAATCCGGAGACTAACAATAAATTAATTATTGTTGTTCAGTGTGAGAAAAATTACGCTATATTGATGTGCGCATGCCCAGCAGTTTTAGCTGTATCCCTTCTAGCCGTAACCCAGGAACAACGCCTCCTTCCCCTTTTATTAGCTGCTCTCATTAGTAACACACCTCCTTTGTGACGTTCATGAAAAATGAAAGTAAACTGGATTACTTTTGAATTTAGCAGAGCTGTAATATGTTCAGATAACTTATCATCAATGATGCCAATACAGGCTTTATCATCTCAGAACAGACCGGATATTGTTTATGAAATATAAGAAACTTTGTTCAAACTACATCATATCAGAATAGAAGTCAGATTTATGTGGATTCCAGCTCATGGGGGGATTGAGGGGAATGAGGCTGCAGACACTTTGGCTAAGCAAGCTCTCAAGCAAGACAGAATTATGGAAATATCATTTAGTAAAGCAAAGCTGAAAGTAAAGCAAAAATAAGGTCTAATATTACGAAGGCCTGGCAAAAACAATAGGATGAAGGGAATAAAGGACGTCATTTATACAATATTAGACGAGAAGTAGGGAAAATGAAATTAACAGGAAGAAATACAAGAGAACATATCATTATTTCGAGGTTGAGATTGGGGCATGCTGGGTTAAATAAAACAATGCATTTATTGAAAAAACATCCATCAGGGATGTGTGATTGTGGAATGGGAGAGGAATCAGCAGAGCATGTGATTTGTCAATGTGTCAAATATGAAACACAAAGGAAAAAATAAAAGATGAACTGAAGAAATATGGAGATATTAAATATTAAGAATTTATTTAAAGCTGGAGAACAGGTAAATAAAGTTTTGTTTTTTTATTTTTTTTAATAAACTAGTTTAATGAAGAGAATTGAATTATTATTATTATATTTTTATATTTTTTTGAGTAATATCCATTTCTGGCCCACACTCCAGTACAGCAGGTGGCGGATATGCACCTTAAACGTTAGATGCCACCCGCCATTAAAAAGAAGAAGAATTTAGCAGTTGATCACTCGATGCACAAACGCTCTAATCACTCCAGTGTGATCGTACGCTCCAGGAACTGTGTCTCTGATCTCTCTTCATAAATACACTAATACACATTAATCTCACAACCTTTATTTCAGCTCATTCATGTAGAACATGTGAGTGTATATTATTATTATTCATAATTCAGTCTGTCCTCAGTAACACTTTCGGTGTCAAACCTCGAATTACACGTCTGACTGCCTCACTTTAAGCTTGTTGTCGTTGTATTTCAAGAAAAGTGGATAAATGCATGTGTTATAAATCCAACAGATCCGAGTCTCTGAACTGTGGTGTATTTACTAATTCACATAGCTTAATTAGTAAAAAACCTTTATTTTAAGACAGGGCTACATATTAAAAACACTAACGCATATCAGCCCAAACAGGCCTTTGTCAGAGTGCTGAATATTGAAGCATGAGAAATAGTTAAATATATACACCTGTGACTATACATTTACAAATTCTGACCACTAGGTGTCTCTTAAGAGTAAGAAATATTGAAATCATTATTTTAAACAATCCCCAAAAAAATTACTTTAATTGTAATTGTAATTACTTTACAATTACACATTTCATCACAAAAAAATGATATACATAAATATGTCTACAAGCTTATTTAAACAAAAAAGTCTAATACAGATATATCGGCCGATATTCTTTGTGTATATCATAGTACAGTACCAGTCAAAAGTTTGGACGCGGCAGAAATCCAGGATAAACATCAGTGTGGCTTTTCCCAGATGGAAGGTGCTGATGCAGGACAAATGTTTTCAAAGCGATGCAGAAGTTGCCTGTTTTCTGCTGGACCGGAACTGTTTGCTTTAGCTACAAGATGGGCATAATCAAAAGGTGCAATTTGGTCATTCACAGTGTAAATGCCTTTTGCAAACATTGCATCTTTTACCACAAGCTCAAATGATGGCTATCAGTGCTACAATGACAAACTATGTGTCGGCCACCGTAGCTTCACTGGACCTTTAAGCCGCGCTGCGCAGATCAAAGTACCGCGAGCTCCAGAAATTGCCTGACAAAATATTACAGATAATACTATACTGTATCTATTTAATAAGATATGGGAAGAAGGTAAAATGCCAAAAAGTTGGACGAGTGCAGAGTTTTTCCAGCTGAGGCGCTTTGATTGCTATAATTTGGAATATCCACAGCAGTAACGAATTACTAGTATCTCATTTTGAAGAATATTACTGAATATAAAAATGCAGTAACCAGCAATGTTAACTTCTCTATTGTTGTTCAGTTGTTGTACAAGTAGGATGATTGGTCGGTGTAGCCTCATATTTGTCCCGCCCCTCCTCCATTGATTGGACGCCTGGGTAAAAAGTGACAGTGACAAGCAATTCTATACTATTCAAGTTTCACATGGGGAAGTCTTTTAAATCATTTCATATTTCACAGAATAATATTAATGAACAACTTAATAAACCACTGAAAAGATATATATTGAAGAGGCAGTGGATTCCAGAATCCACCCCTTCCGAATCATAACTTAATCACAACAGAAGTATAACACATAAAAACAAAAACAATGAAAATAAATATTAAAATTGCCTTTAAATGTTAAAACAAGAATCAAATAGAAGGATACATACTATATCATATTAAAATACAAAAATTTATTCAAATCATAAAAATTTAATACATAATTAATTAATTATTCAGTAAAAATAACAAATAGAACACCTTTACTACAAAAACACAAGCTTTCATTCAAACTGACTGTCTCGATAAAATATATTTTTAACATGCTCTCCAAAGTTTTACATTGTTTCACCAAAAATGCTACTGTCATGGTTACAAGTTTTCCTTTATTATTTGGCAATCTGCAAAAGTTCTTAATATGAACATTACGAAAATTCATGTCACCTCTGAAGGAATTTCAATAATGCTTGTATAAAAATCAAGAAATGCTCAGTGTCATAATGTATTGGACAGACTTTGTCTTTAATTGTCTGCCAAATTATAAGGTAAAACCCAGTGAAACTTGACACGGACAGAGTCACGGTCACCCTTAAATAGATTTAGTTGAAAATTTCATGTCACCTCTGAAGGAATTTTAATAATGCCTGTAGAAAAAGCAGGAAATTATCAGTATTATAATGTACTTTAACAGACTTTATTTTTTTTCAAAACATTAACATTTAGTCATTTAGCAGATGCTTTTATCCAAAGCGACTTACAAATGAGGACAATAGAAGCAATCAAAACCAACAAAAGAGCAATGATATATACTGTTATAGAGCAATAATAAGTGCTGTGACCAGTCTCAGTTAACCTAATGCAGTACACATAGCCAGTTTATTTTTGTTTTGTTTTGTTTTTATAATAAATTAAAAGAAAACGAGTAGATAGAATAGAAAATTAATAAATAATGCTAGTGTTAGAGGGTTGTTATTTATAATAAATAAAAATAAAATAAATAGATAAAATAGAAAAATAATAGAGAATGCTATGTTGGAGGCTCTTTTTTCTTTTTAAATAAAACAAGTAGATAAAATACAATTACAACAGAGAGTGCTAGAGAAAAACTCTATTCGATTGTAATATGAATCCGTACCGTAATCCCACCTACAGACGTGCTGCAAAAATCCAGGTGGCGGCTCATGACCTCAGGGAGCTGATGATATTGCCAAATGCCAAATTAATCTTTCCAAATGTATGTTTGGCCAGAAAAAACAGAGACGGAAGTTGTCCAGTGAGGATTTTAGCATTGAGTGGTAAGTTTTTCATTGTCATTTCACATACTAGCTCATGATGAATCAGTTAATGGGTAGTCTGTATCAGCTAAATATTGGCTGGATGTTGCAATTTCCTAACGGGAATCTAACGCCACTATGCAGACATCTAGTGGCTATACAGTTTAGTATTACAGTTTTATTTTTATTATTTTTTTTATTTCTTTAACATGTACAAGAAAAAAATAAATACAGTTCATGCACAATATTAAAAAATTTACACCATATACATTTTAGTCTATTTCGAAATGTAAGTGAAATGCTATGGTCTTTCTTTATTTCAGTGACTGATCCAGAGTGTGGGCACTCTCGTGTTAATTTCTACGTTTTCCTGCTCATTTTCTGCTAGAAAACTTACACACAACTGCAGTCTTGCACACCATGGAATTTTAAATCTTTGCTATTTCCTTCATCCTCTATGAAAACAAAACAACTCTGAAATTTCCAGACATGAAAACGTTTTTCCCAGCAGGAAGCATCGTAATTCATTTACTGTAGCAGCGTCTCATCCCGCGTTTGAGGAGAATAATTGTAGACGGGTGTTATTTGCGCACGCACCAGCAGGCGGCTCACGTGAGTCAACACGTGTCAACAGAAATAAAAGAATTAAGAGACCAACTCTCAGTCCACGGTGGAGTTGATGGAGGGAGGAACCAAGAAGGGTGTGAAACTGGAGGCATCAGGGGTCCGACTGATGGAGACGGAGCCAGTGGAAGGGGAGCCCAAGGCAGACGGAGAGCCGAAGAGCCGGGGGGACACTGAGGGATCGGAGGATCATGGT